CGGAAGCCAATACTTTCGCAAACCTACTGCCCGCTACCCAACTGAAAATCCTGGATGTGATCCATTCTCAGCACTTGGCCCAGGATGGCTTTGATCTAGCAACCCTTCCTCAAGACCTAGTGCAGTACAGCACCGCGGCGCACAAAACCAGCAAGATCCAAGCACTGCTCTGTGGAAGAGAGGCCCATATTACCAGCCTCGTGGAAATCTCAACACACCCCAGGCGTAGGGTTGGAACAATTGGTTTCTAACTGGGGCACTGGAGCAGGATTCAGAGGCCTGGGTTCTATTCCTGACTCTGTCACTGACCTGCTGTGTGTCCTTGGCTATACAGACTGCGAGGCCTTCAGGGCAGGAATTGTCCCTCACTAAACATCTGCGCAGCATCCAGCAAAACATGAGCGCCAAGGGCTCCTTTGAAAAGACCTTTCTTAAAGGTCACATTTTCTTAAAGGGCTCAACTCTCATGTCAGCTCTTAATGAAACGTCAGGGTGTTCAAAAGGTCTCAGCACACAACAGCATCCAAGTGAACATGTGGCCATGTCAGCTAAGTGCCTACATGGTTGCTCTGACGTGGTCCTGGGTTTGGGATGCCTAGCACATGGAAAAAATCTGACCCTTAGTAGTTAAAAATCAAAGACAGATCCCAGTTGGTGTAAATGGAGGTTGCTCCACTGCAGTCAATGACTCCAATCTCCAGCTGGTGTAAGTGGCCACCCCTCCATTAGAAACAATGGGGCCATATCCCCCACTGGTGTAAATTAGCATCACTCCACTGAAGTCAGCAGAGCAATGCCGATTTGTGCAGCTGAGAATCAGGTCAGTGTTATCAAGGCCTGCTTTGGATTGCAACATTTGGCATCCTTCTTAAAGCCCCCAGCTCCTGAACGCTGTGATTACAGGTGACTCTTCATTTTCGTTTAGTTTTTACCCCGGGAAAGGCTCAAAAGCTGGGTCGCAAATGAAAAGGAACTCAAAATGATCCTCTCCTGAGCTAAGCTAATCTTGTCACTGGAAAGGGCCTGCTCCGTGGCTTTGGAAAATTTGGGGTTCAGACATTAGTGGACTCTGATTCCCTGTCAAAGGAAATTCACATCCAATCAAACCGTTCCACACCTAAGATGACTGGGTTGAAGACTTCTTGAACTGCCTGGTAAATGAACACTGACCATCAGCATCGGTGGAGCCAATCCACCACTATGGCTGTTAATCGAACAAGCAACAAGAAGCCAACCAGAGAACCTCTGCCTTATCGGCTTGGGTGGCTGTTTTCTGGGTGGTCCTCACATCTGAACCCGTCAGGGGACTCTCAAGGCAACTGTACCAGAACCTTGAAAGATGATCTTGTAGCACTGACAACAACCACTGCTCTGCTGTTCATGGCGTGGCTCAGATCCCGCCAAAAAGCTCTCTCTACCATAGACTCAGCCTGGACGCTTCATTACCCTGACAGGCCCAGAACTCCTCCGTGCTAGGTTTGGGGAAGAACACCACAGAGTTTAGCTAGCTGGAGGTGCCAAAGAAGAGCCAGATTCCTGCCACTGAGACTATTGTGTGCCAGCTTCCCCCAAAAGTCCACTGCAATTACTTCTTCACTTGTCCTTTCCTCTGCTAATCCCTTCTCTGCTTCTGCTCACCAGCTGCACTGGATCCTATCATCCAAAGCGAGGACAGACACATTCTTGCAGCAACTTTGTCCCCACTCGGCATTGTCACTCAGACCTCTGCTCTCCATCCATCCCAACATTCATCCATCTTTCTCCTGACATTGCCAAACTGCAGCTTATCCCCAGGGAGCCAGCGATCCCTGGCCATTTGCAAGCTACTTCCCTTTTGGCTCTTCATAGATTGTAGGACCAGAGGGGATCATCAGACCATCCTGCAAGAAACACACCGAGGAGCCTCACCCAGGGATTCCTGCATCCAGCCCACTAACTTTTGGTTGGATCCTTTGGATGGACAACTTGAGCATGTCTTTGGGATGGATGTCCAATCTGCAGACTCCAAGTGATGAGCATTTATCTCGGCCCTTGACAAGCTGTTCTACTGCTTAATCCCCATTCCCATTAAAAATCGGGGCCCGGATTGCCAATTGGAATTCTTCAGCTCCCGGTGGCTGTATCTCATTCTGCCTTTGCTCGATTAAAGAGGCCTCTGTTCTGAGAAATCTTCTCCCTGAATAGGTACCTAGAGACAATGGGCAGGGACCTCTTCACCTTCCTTCTGTTCCTTTAATGAGCCTGAAAATTCTGTATGCCGGCCATCGTATGAGGATGCACTCGGGGGATATTGTGGTAGATTCTCCAGAGGATAGTCACATTGTAAAACTCCACCTCTTCTGCTACAAAAGCCCATCCAGGACACTCCAGTTCCACAGCACATGGGCCCCCAGCCAACATGTCCTGCTGGTCCATGAAAATCCTCTTCCCTCCTGTTACCGCTCTCCCACTCGGAAACACTCCACATCTTTCTCCTGACCTCAAAAGCAAACGCGTCTCCTTGGCAGAGTGGCTTGTGGTGGGGTCTCTTGGGAGCACGAGGCACATGGCACCTCTGAAAACAAAGCTCAAGGCGGCCACTCAGGAGAGATTCAGGTGCCACCCAGCTGATTAGCAGAGCACCCACAGCCGGTAGCAGGTGTTTCTATTGGTGGAGCACATCTGCACTTTCCTAAGCACCAAAACCAACATTTATGCTGCCCAGGGATGGAAAAAATAGGAGGAACCATTGGCAGGGGCCACCAGTGTTCACCAATAACGTGTCTGAGAGTCCCCGCAACATGCTAATGCCAGGGAGTGACGGACACTGGCCCAATTGCTGTACTGAGTTCCCCACTCAACTCTGCCCTCACTCAAACCTCAACTGGAAATATCAGCTGCCGTGGTAAATAAGTGGTTGGATTGTCAGGGTGTGTCTAGACTACAGGGTTTTGTCGGCAAAAGTGGACTTTTGTCGACAAAACTATACCTGCGTCCACACTGCCTTTGAGTTATGTCGACGTATGTAAACCTCATTCTACGAGGAATAACGCCTTTTGTGGACAGAGTTTTGTCGATAGAAGGCACTATTGCAACTACACTGTCCTTTGTGTCCACACTGTGATGTCGACAAAGCGACTTGCTTTGTCAACAGAACTGGATGTAGTCTAGACGCTTTTTGTCGACAGCTTTGTCGACAGTATCTGTCGACAAAACCCTGTAGTCTAGATGTACCCTCATTGTCTAACATTAGGCCAAGAGTCAGAGCAAGGCAGAAGTGCCTCCCAACCCTTGGCGGGTAAAATATGACTTTACCTTCCACAGCTCCTACTGTAAGATTCTGCTCCCTGCCCTGGTTTCATCCCCCTTTTGCATGGTCCTCTCTGGCCTAGTTTGCTCTTCGACTTTTGAAACTCCCTCCCTAAGCCAAGACTGCAAATCCAGTCCTGCCTGTTCCGCCTCCAAGCCCAAGCTCCTGAAAACTCGTTGCCATCCCCAACATACTTTGCTTCCAAGTTGGCCAACCGCCTCTCCATCTCCAGCCTGGTACCTTCCTGTTTGCAGTAACAAACCCCTCCGACCGTCTGTGCCAGAAATCCTCCCTCTCCTTTTCCCTCAACTTCGCTGTTGCCTTGCCTCCTTTCCACTGTCCCCCGTCTCTCAACCCCACCCAGCTGGTCTGCCTCCATCCTCGAGGCTAGAGAACTAGTTTCCTTTACATCTCGCTACATCCCACTACATCAAGCAGATTCTGAAAGTGACATCTGAGGGCCCCTTTCATTCACCCTTGGCCTAGCTGCGGGCAGGGCAGTGGGGACCCTGTGAAGTCTGTTCTGCATCCATCCCAGGACAAAGTTGCCACTCTTCACACTGAGGGCTTTGTCCGCATTTCGAAACAGAAACAGCCAAAACTGACAGCTCTTAGGACTCAGACTTCCGAGGCTACAGCTGAGAATCAATGGCTGGTCCTGTAACTCCCATCTCCAGTGAGGAAATCCCATGCAGCTGCATTGGGAGGATGAGTTAAACTGCAGTGGCCTACCCGCTGGCTGCTCCGGCAAAGGTCCGTGCAGCGCTTGCTGCTGATGGTGCTAGATGTGAGGGGACAGAGACTGGCAGGGCCAACAACTCCTTAATGCCCCCAAGGCCTATTTTCTTGACAAGGCTGGAGTCGCGCTCTCGTGCCAGGGCCGTGACAGGGGCTCCAGACCCGCAGAGTGGTGGAAGGACTGTGGCTGATGGGTTCTGCAGGAAGCCTGAGCCCTCTGGGGACATGGGGCAAGGGAGGCCTAGAACCAGGTGGAAACGGCACCCTGCACTGCGCAGACAGCTTCTGGGGCAGCCGCTCTGATTTTCCATCGCATGTCGGAAGCTGGAGGCTCGTCTTGTGCCCTAGGCCAGCTACTTGCAGTGCCTCCTGTTTCGTGACCCGCCACCGCTGATGATCCAAACAGCTGTCGGTGCTCTCTGGAGAACCATGGAGGGGACACGAGCCCTGCAAGGGAGAGGAGCTTCTCTTCTTTCCACCCAAGGGTCCGAGGGTTTCCCTGGCCAGTGCGCTGGTGTGATGGCGCCCCTCCCGTCCAGCTTCTGGGTGGGGAAGGAGGGGGCTTTGCGGTGCACTGCACCAGAACTGGCAGTTGGGTTTGAAGACCCTTCTTACCTCCCTATCCTGCTCCTGATGCCAGGATCCAACAGGCACTTTGCTGGTTGCTTGCCCTGAAAGCTCTCTGGCAGCCCCTTGCTGAGCCAAACTAGCAGCCCCCCGTCCCCAAATGCACATTTTCCTTTACCCGCATGCTTAATGCTGCCCCAGGCCTGCCCACCCAGGGCAGAATGGAGCTTTGTGCAAGGCGCTGCCAGGCAGCTGTGCCCATGGTTCCACCCACCAAGGCTGCTCCGCCCTTTGGGAGAACGATGGGCACTGAGTGGGGTCAGTGTGCTGGACAGACAAGACCAGGCCTGGCAAGATGGTTGGTGCCACCCTGCTGTGTGTGAGCCCCCTTGCTAGGAGGTTTCTGTCCACTGCTGGACTGAAGGAACGGGGCCAGCAGTGCAGTAGGGGTCTCAGCTGCCAGCCAGACCCAGGATCTCAAGGAACTTTGTAGCCCAAGTCTGCTCGGCACCTGACCTCCGATTTTTGGTTGGGTTTGTAAAGCAGCTTTGTCTGCATGTCCATCGTGGTGGGCTGGGAGCACCTGGGGCATTGTCAGAGCAAGGTGCAGCCCCTCCAACCAGCAGCAAGGCCTGTGCAGAGCCCAGCCCTACCTGGAGCTGGACAATGGTGAGCCTAATGCACCGGGGGAGCCAATGCCACTGAGGGAGGAAGCAAACACGAGTCCTTCTGGAAGCAAAAAGCCGAGATCTGTGCTAAAGAGGGGCTAAATGTCAGCAACAGCCTGGGGAGCTGCGTGGTCTGGCTTGAAGGGAGGTGGAGACCGGACTTCATCCCACAGGCTTTCAGGGTTACACTCCCACCTCCTGCTTCCCAGAGCTTCTGAGAGGGCCTGCCTTCCTCACAAACCAGAATGAAAGTGAAAAATCAAACCATCAGCAGCCCTCCCTAAGCGCGCCGCCCGCGCTGCCCCCAGGCTTCCATGGGGCACGCTGCCAATTATCATCCGAAACCTCAGCAAATGTGACCCGGGGAGGCTGGGGGAGCCAGGCGGCCCTCCACCAGCCAACGCTAATCAGCGTCGCTCCGCTGCTGTCACGGCTGCCCTGATTCACACCTGCTGACGTTCACCTGCGGCGCGCCAGCCAAGCCAGGCGCAAGGGGGTGACTTACAGCAGCTGTGAGCCCTCCACAGCAGCCACGGACACGTCTGAACGAACCCAGGGCCCTGACAAGACTTAGGAAGAAGGAGGTGGGAAAAGAACAACTTCAAGTTTCATTAGTGTCTTTGATTTTTACAGCTCTGCAGCAGCCGAGGAGTAGATTGCAGGTGGCGACCGTTTCTACCCCCTAGAATTCTCTTTTTGTTTTTTTGTTTTTGCATTTTCACTCCCTCCTTTTAAAAAGCAACAGAAAATCAACATGCAGCTGCCCCTTGGTGTGTCCTCGCCACGCAGAGCAGCCCAGCGATCACTTTGGTAAATACAAAGCTGTGAACAGAAAAAAAAAAAAAAAAAAAAAAAAATTTGTTCGCACGCCAAAAGAAAACAACAGGAAAACCCCTGAGATCAAAAACAGAATTAAAAAAAAATCATCGGCATAAATCACTTCAGCCGAGCTGCTTCCAGCGAGACCAATTCCCAAACCCACCCCCAGCCCACCCCCAAGGAAAAATAAAATTAAATGAAAGCAGAGCAAGGGCTGAGCTCCTAGTTTAAGTCTGAAGCAGCACTCCCCAGGTGTCCCCTCCCCCCCACTTCCCCTCCCCTAATACAATCCCAACACACAAGAGAAAAGCAAGAGACCTATAACAACGCAGGCGGCTGTCGGGCGGGCATGGCAGGGAACCCGCAGCACCGCAGAGTCCAAACTTAATAAATAAGTAGTAAAAAAAACGTGTCTTTGTTCACAGTGCGTGAGCGAGGGTCCCAGCCTCCCTTCCCCAACCCCCGAGTCTCTTGGGGGGTGGGGCAGCAGGTGGAGAGAGAGGCATAAGCAGGACATGCTGCCTCTCAGGACCAAGGGAGGTATGAGCTTCCCAGCAGAGCCTTCTGGTCTGAAGGAGGTGGTGGGACAGGGTTGGAACGAACTCTCTCTTCTCCGGCTGGAGACGCAAGCCAGGGCTGGAAATCACCTCCTCTCGGCCAGCTAGTGGCGCAGGGGCAGGACTGGAGCAGGCTTTCTCCCATCGGGCGCGAGACACAGGACCCGGCTGGACACGCAGAGCCGGGGTGGAAAGAGCTTTCCCACCGAGGGAATGCGGGACAGATCTGGAAAGGGACGTGTCCTCTTCAGCTGGCTGCTGCCCGAGACACGAAGGCTCTAGCGGCAGGGGAGCAACAAGCCCACACTGCAGAGAAAAGGAACAACCCCGCTGCCCCTAGCCACACGGGCGGAGAGTGAAGAAGGCAGGTACAATGAACGGTTCAACCAAACCTCCGAAGAGTTGCTTTTGCAAAGGTGTGGAGGAGCGGCTGCCATGGGGCTCGTCCCCACCCTGCGGCGGTGACCGGCCGTAAGCTCTCCTGGCATGGCCCCTCCCCAGCTCACCGCTGTGGCCGCGGGGCTACCTGCTGAAGAAGGGCAGGTGGTGCTGGGTGAGGATGCTGCTTGTGCGGGGCGACTCTGTCTTGGCCATGACGTCTTTGAACCAAGATGCCACGTCCACTTCCAGCGTCTCGTAGCGCTTGATGAAGTTGTGTTCCTGGGAGGTAAGCCAGAGAGACACTGAGCTGGGGGGGACAGGAAGGCGCGGAGGGGGAACGGAGCACCCTGGCAGGACAGGGCTGGAGGGACGCAGCCCATTGCACACATACCCCATGGGGGAGAGGGAGGCAAAAATCACACAGGTACCCCTCAGAGGAGATGGAATTGTGTGACAAACACACAAACACCCTCCCCTTAGAGACATGCCCACACAAACCAAGGCAAAGTGAACCCAGCATTACAGAAACTCAGCGGCAGAAGTGGGAACAGAACCCCCAACCCCCAGTCTTGCTCCCATCCCTCTACTCTAACCGCTAGACACCACTGCCTTCCCAGAGTTGGGGATAGAACCCAGGAATCCCAAGTCCCAGACCTCTCTCCCCTAACTGCTAGATCCCGCTCTTTTCCCATGTCAGGAACAGAACCCAGGAGTCCTGCCTCCCAACCCCCTGCTCTAGTCCACTCACCTGAAGTGGAAAAAACTAAAATGTCTATTTGCTGCTTACTGGGCTTGACACAGGAGTGGCAGCAGCACTGTGTTTAAATAGACCGATGGAGTCACGGCAGCAGGCTGCGATCTCTCAGCCCCCAGCCTTGTGTGGTATTGCAGCAGACCTGTTGCTGGGCTCATCCAGCATGAAATGGGCTGGGGGTGGCGGCTGGGGCTTTGTTTGGGGCACGTCCCTCCACAGCTTGGGGAGAGGGGAGCTCGGATTTCTGCGTCAGATACTCACAAGTAGCTTGTTGTACTTTGGTCTCTTCCTGTGATCTTTAGTAAGGCTAGAAAGAGAAAACACACAGACGCTTTGGCATCGCCACGCACAACCCACTGCGCTTAGGAGCATTTATAAACTCAGCCACTAGAGGTCAGTCACGCTCACAAAACGTGATTTGTCGGTGGAGGAGGTATGTGAGCGCTGCCTAGCAAGCAGGCCTTTCCCACCAGCACGGACCTGTCCCACACACTTGGGTTTCTGCTGCCTCACCTTGTGGCCCGCCAGGCAGCGCTGCTCAGTGGCACGAGCACAGAGGCTTGGTGCAGAGAGGGCAACTGAGCAGCTCACAAGGCTGAGTGCCAAGCGCCTGGGACTTAGGGAGCAAACAATGACGGCAGCCGAGGCAGGCCGGTGTTCAGTGCTGCTGTAGAGATGTCACCTCATAGACTCATAGACTTTAAGGTCAGAAGGGACCATTATGATCATCTAGTCTGACCCCCTGCACAGCGCAGGCCACAGAATCTCGCCCACCCCTCTTAGAATAATCCTCTCACCTGTGTCTCAGATATTGAAGCCTTCAAATACTTTGAAGGCCCCAACATGCAGAGAATCCTTCAGCTGTGATCTGTGCCCAGTGCTACAGAGGAAGGCGAAAAACCTCCAGGGCCTCTGCCAATCTACCCTGGAGGAAAATTTCTTCCTGACCCCAAATATGGCGATCAGCTAAACCCTGAGCATGTGGGTAAGACTCACCAGCCAGACACCCAGAAAGTTCCCTATAATGAATGGTCAATTAGTTACCAAGATCATGTTATTTCATCCAACCATCCCCTTATCATAGAATCATAGAACTGGAAGAGACCTCAGAAGGTCGTCAAGTCCAGCCCTCCGCTCTAGGCAGGACCAATCCCATCTAAATCAACCCGGCCAGGGTTTTGTCAAGCCGAGACTTAAACACCTCTAGAAGCTGGCCACCTACCAAGCACCTTTCCTCATGCTCCCCCAAGGAGCAGGAAAGGGTTGTAATCCCTTGACCCGGGGAAGGCACAGAGCCCGACTCAATTTCATCCAGGGAGGCTAGTCCAGAGCAGGGATTTGAACCTGGATTTCCCAGGGCCAAGGTACATGCTCTAATCCCAAACCAAGCACCTAGCTAGGAGACGAAATGCCAAGGGCAGAGACTGGCCTTTACCTGTTACCGAGCCAGCCCCCCTGCTGTCCTGCCCTTTGGCTGTGCACACCCAGATGCACCTACCCAGACCTCCTGTGTGTGTGCATGAGGCCTGGTCACCGGGATGCCCCAGTGCTAAGACTGCCCAGACTCCAGGAAGGTGATCATGCAGAAGGTCTTAACACCATGGCAAGGAGGGGCGAGCCCAGAGCATCTAGTGGCCAGGGCCAGGGTCAGGGCCAGCATTTCTGATGTGGGGGAGCGGGACTTTAACCATGACCCCAGGGGTGACTTTATGCACCTGAAAAATCTAGAAGTGTTTTGCAGATAACTTAGAAATGAGCTGACAGGCGCACTGCATCGGGCTGGAAAGAAAACAGATACAACGGCCATATGTGCAGTGTCTAGGTACGTGTAGAACAATCTGGGAATGACACAGCTAGGAATTCCCAATCCCAAGCCTTGAGGTGGAGCCAGACCTGCTCAGCTGTGTCTTGCCGTTCAACCATTCAGAGCCTTGTTCAGCTCAGCTGTTGGGGATGGGGGAGGAGCCTGTGCTTTGGGATCTGCAGGGATAAAGTCCCATATGAGGAAGGGCTGCTGCAGTACCGAGGGGTCTGACAAGCTGGAGCAAGGACAGGAAGTGGTGGGGTGATATCGGAAGTCCAATCTGGATAGGTGGTTAGGAGGGCAAGCACGTAGCCAACAGGCTGGTGTGGACGTGCCCCATGTACTGCTCGTGGTTCCCCTGGCTGGCCTGGAGGCTACTCAGGGCAGATTCTCCGATAGCTCAGGCATCACGGCCTTGTGCTTTGGTGCAGGAGAGGGCGATTCTGCCCCAGCAGCTGTGAAGCTCTAGTGTCACATGGCAGATCCAGCTGGCCGGGGAACTGGCCCAACAGAGCTGTACCTCCCCCAGTTCCTCCTGCGCCCCCAGTGCCCAGTGAGCTGTTCAAGCCGTGACAGAACAGAAGAGGGTCTAGTAGGTGCTGGCCACTGTCATTAGAAATCCACGTGTCAGAGACAGGCACCTGAGCTGAGCACCGTGATTGCTGGGGGTGCTTGCTGCCACATGGGGTTTTTCCTCCTTGCCACCACCATGCAGCTGTGTCAGGGTCAAAGGTCAGGACAGAGGTCAGAGCTGTGTGCTGCAAAGGCCTCGGGGTGGCACTGACCCTGGCAGAGGCCTGAGCTGTGCCCCATGGGCATGTGAGTGCAATGTTCAGGCAGGCCTCCCAAGAGTCACAGCTGGGCCTGTCAAGAGAGAAACCCTTCCACACACCCGCTAGTGCAGCGATTCTCACCCACGGGCACACCGGGCCTCTAGGTATTGGCTAACTTTTACAACTGACTACATAAAGATCACCAGCAAAGTCAGTACTACTAAATCGTCAAAGGCTCGTTTATACTGCTCTGAAAGGGAAGCGCAATGTTTCTATTCCAAGTGGGTTTATTTTACTGATACTGTGAAAACGGGAAAGGCGGCAATTCGTCAGTAACAGCGGGACAAGGACACTTCTGTATTTTTACTCTGATTTTCCAGGCAAGTACCTTTTAAGTGAGGTGAAACTCAGGAAATCAATCCCAGACGTCAGAAAAGAGTTACATCCCCTGCTCTCGGGCGTACAACTGGTGATTAGCCTTAACCCCACATACTCTCTCTCCTGCAGTGCTGGGAAAGGCCAGGCCCCGGATTGGTGACACTGATCTGCCAGGGTTCGAGCCAGTGGCGCATGGCTAGACACTGGGTCTGGGGAAGGCCACAGGTTCGCGCTGAGCTAATGACCCTCCCAGCCCCTTATGGCACACACAGCAGTGCTGTACTTTGCACATTTCCTCTGCACTCCGCCACACGGTCTTGTCCCTGCACCCCTTATCCTATGCTGATGCTCACGTGTCCCCCTCTCTCCAGATCCCACCTGTGTCCCTTCTCCTCCCTCCTGTACTCTCTTGTGGTCCTAGCTTCCGGCAGCCCCTCCCCGTGCTCCAGGCACGCAGAGCAGCCAGTCTCCGGTTTCCAGCTGCTGCACACAGCTCACCAGGAACCAGCCACGCAGCCCCTTCTTCTGCCCTGCCCACTACCCGCCCTCCAGCACTTACAGCACCATACAGTGCAGCCCCAGAAGGAGCCGCTCCCTGGAGAAAGGGCACAGGGTCTGGCAGTGTGAGTCCCATGTGCTGTACCATGGAGCTGGCCCACAGAGGTGCCCTTTAGGGGAGCATGGGGCACATCTACCAAAATCTGAAATGGTGCCCCTGCTCCACGGTGGCACAAACCCATCTACTTCAGAGATCACTCACTGAGTCACTGCTATTGAAGCAACAAAGGCTCAAGGGCAGTCTAACCAGGGCATGGCTGCTCTGCGGTACCCCTGAGATGCGGTGGACAGGTTTCTCCTCGGCTGGGCTCAAGGGCCCAGGAATGGGGTCTCGGCTCCCCAGCAGCGGGACTGTCACTCACCAGTCTTTAACGAAGGACTGGAAGTCCACAGAGAAGCCCATGTTGTTTGGCAGCAGGGGAGGATCTTCCTGCAAGTTCAGCCTGCAGGGGGGAAGAAGGGAAGAGAACAAGGATTCAAACAGAATGAGAGAGCGCAGAGGCCTCCAGCATGCTCTATCTGCAATGCTGAGCTACTTCCATCGAATGCAATGAGACCTGTGAGTGCTCAGACCTCTGGTAATTAGGATCCTGTTAATCAGGAAATTACAACGGTGCCTAAAGCTGCAGACAGGGGCCTTGTGCAATTCATTGATTTGCAGGCCAGAAGGAACTTTCGTGATCATCTTGCCTGACCTCCTGTATAAATCAACCCACAGGTCTTCAAGTGAACCATTTGAACTAGAGCAGATCCTCTAGAAAGGACAATCCAATGTAGAGCCGAAGAACAGCCAATAGACATTTAAAAGTTGCCAGCGATGGCAAATCTACCACAGACCTTGCAAGTTCTTCCAATGGTTAATGGCCCTCATGGTTAAAACTTGGGCCTTATTTCCTGTCTGAATTTGACCTGCTTCAACTTCCAACCAGTGGCTCTTGTCAGAACTCTGTCTGTTCCACAAGAGATCATTCTTGTCACATTTCTGTGCCCCACGTAGGTACTTACCAATTCTGACCAAGTCTCCCCTTCTCTTTGCTAAACTAATCAGAGTCTGGCATTAACTCACTTATTCCTGTGGATTTAGAGGACTGATTTCACTCCCACTGAAGTAAGAAGGATCTTCCTACCTGGCTAGCTTCAAGCACCCTGCTGTGAATATTTTGATCCATGGTTTTGACCCCTGATCTGTTTTATCCCCTGCAGATGAGATGGATTTATCCTGTTGCATCTCACTTAGCCTAGACATGGCCCTAGCCTGTCTATTTCACTTGATTTCTTGTTAGTTTCACTCTCTAGTCCTATGGCCTTAGCAACAAAGGCATTGTGTGTCCTGGTTTCACTGACGAAGGGGAACTTTTATCTTGAAAGAACATAAGAACGGCCATATTGGCTCAAACCAAAAGTCCATCTAGCCCAGGATCCCGTCTTCCAACAGTGGCCAATGACATGTGCCCCAGAGGGAATGAAAAGAACAGGGAATCATCAAGTGATCCCTCTCAACTTCTAACAAACAGAAGCTAGGGATGCCCATCCTAGCTAATATCCTCCATGAATTTATCTAGCTCTTTTCTGAACCCTGATAAAGTCCTGGTCTTCACAACATCCTCTGGCAAGCAGTTCCACAGGTTAACTGTGTGCAGTGTGGAAAAAATACTTCCTTTTGTTTATTTTAAACCTGCTACCTATTAATTTCATTTGGCGACCCCTAATGCTGGGTTATGGGAACAAATAAATAACTTTACTTCACTTTCTCCACACCAGTTATCACTTAAAAAAAGTGTTAGTAGGAACATTATGGTGGTGCCTAGATGTTCCACTGAAATCGGGGCCCTGTTGTGTTCAGCAGTGACTGACAGTTTCTGCCCCAACGAGATTCCACGCTAAACAGACAAGGCAGACGACAGAAAGGATCAGTGTCCCCGTTCTGTGGGTGAGAAACTGAGGCCCAGCTGGATGATGTGATTTGCAGAGAGTCAGTGGCAGAACTGAAATTTGAATGCAGGACTCCTGAGCTTTGGGTGACGTTTCAGCCACAAGACCTGCCTGTTATCTGCATTCCTCTTGCTTAGGCAGTTCCTTTTAAGAACAGGAGTACCAGAAGTTTACGACAGATCCCAGAGCTGCCCCAAAACCTGCATTCCTCGGCCACACAAACCAAACTAAAGCTGCACAGTGTAATTCACAGATTTATGGATTCCAAGGCCAGAAGAAACTCTTGTGATCTAGTCTAACCTCCCATAGGCTATGGCTACACGACAAGTTTTTGCAGCCGAGAGTATGCTAACGACAGACTCATTAGGATATTTTCTGCCGATGCCTTTTGTGCAAGGGGTTTTTGCGCAAAAAGAATCAGTGAAGCCACTTACGTCTTGCGCAAAAACCCCTTTTGTGCAAGATCCTTATGCCTCTCCGGGAGAGGGACAAAAGTTTTTTGTCACTTTTCTAGGGGGAAGGAGGGGCTTAAGTACAAAATGTGCTGATCCCAACATGGCCCTGTGGGATGTTTCCATTTCAGTAAATCTGTTTTCCAACAGAAAAAACCTGCAGGTGAAACCTTGTCAGTCCGCTGGAGATAAAAGCCAGCAGCTGATCTGCCCTTCCCTTACTCTGCAGTGACCAAGAGAATGGTCACAGGGCACCTCTTAGGTCTTTGTGCCTCAAAATCACTGAGCCCCTCATGGGAAATCTCAGCCTTGGGTTCCAAGCAGTGTTTTGCATAGGAAGGTCAAGAAGGGACTTCACTCACCAGGGAGATGCCCAGGCTCCACACATCCGCTCGGATATCGTAGTCTGGTTTGGTGGGATCAGGCGGGTCTATCCTTTCGGGCTGGAAAAAGAAAAGACACGCTCAGCCCAACAGAACTTACCGGGTGGCTAGGATCTTACATTCACCAAACACAACTCACCCCAATTACAGATGGAGGTTATGGAACCATGCCCATATCTACTGATATGCAGCTAGCTCTGGGGTGGACGTAGGCAGCTGTGTAACTGCCAGGCAGCAATGCCACAATGTAGAACAGGAAGTGAATCTATCTACAGATTTCTAATGTGCATATCAATAAAGTCAAGACAACTCATGTAACCCTGTTTTGGATTAAGGAAGGGAATTACCTGGCTGAAATTAGGCCAACCACACTGGGGCTAGCAAAGGAGGCCAGATCCCCAGTAGATCTAAATGGGCCTACAGACACTAGGGACAGATCCCTGACTGGCCTAAATCAGCACAGATTCATGAAACCAACAGAGCTGTCTCCATTTACCCCAGTGGAAGATCCAGGGTGGGAGCTTTCAATAACAAGTAGATGGGATCCTGGTTCACACAGGAAATCTCAAGACGGACAGTGCCTCCTACTGTCATCCGGGGAGCTGGTTAGCTGGCCAGTCTTCAGAGATCTCCCATGGCAATACTGACCAAGCCTCACCCATGCAGCAGGAGAGGAGGCCCCATCCCACAGTACCACCCCACTGCCTCAGGCCCAGGGGCTCCCTCTCTGAGCCGCTGGGGGTTACGACATGGCATGGCCCAGCCCTCACCGCCATGTACGCTGCACAGCCCGCACTCCGGGTCTTGGCCTTCGAGTCCACCAGCCTCCCGCTGATCCCGAAGTCACACAGCTTGATCTGCCCCCTCTCGTCCAGCAGGATGTTGGAGGGTTTGACGTCTCGGTGGATGACGCCGTGCTTCTCCTTCAGGTAGTAGAGCGCCTTGACGATCTGAAAGGCCACAGCCACCCCATGCTGCTAGAGACGGCGTCTCCCAGTCAGCCCAGACACCCCGCTGCCTCCTGGTCCCACCCCCAGAGAATCAACAGGTGGAGGGGCCAGCTAGAAAACCCGGAGGGCCCTGGCTGATACAGAGGAGTGGTGGGCAGCCTGCGGCCCGGGGGGTTCTATGTGAGACCCGCGAGACATTTTGTTTTACCGTTGCCCGCGCACAGGGGGGCCAGATTTCTCCTATCGAGGTGACAGGTGACACGCAGGTAAAGCCAGGGCAGGTGAGGTGAGGTGGCTGCTGACAGGGAGAGCTGGGCGCTCCCTCTGCAGCCCATCACTGCGCTGCCACGGTACAATCAGCCCCTCCCCCACATTCCAGGTTCACAAGTGCAATGAGCAAAGCCACCCAGCCCCAGGAGACCGTCTGTGTCACGACAATCCTGCAGCCCACTGAGATGGAGAAGGGCCACTCACTAGCCTAGGCTGCCCATTGCTGCTCTCTATGCAGCAGGGAGGCCTCAGCCCCTCTGTACACAGCTCTGCGGAGAGCACCCTGGCACCTCATGCTCCGCTCGAGGCCCATTGATCCCACAATTCCTGTCCTGGAGAAGGGAGGAGCCAGCCCCTCTCCCTCTGATGAGATGGGATTGCAGGCCCAAGGCCCGGAGCATGTGGCACTGTGCAGAGAGCACTGGGAACAGGCCCTGAGGCGCGAGAGCGCCCCCTCTGCGCAAAGCCCTCCCAGCTGCCAAACAGCAGAGGCCACTGGGGCATCTGCTCCCTCCCAGCTGCTCACGTGGGAGAACAGTTTGGCAGGTGCCTGTCCCGCGGCATCCAACTCACTGGCCCTTCCCCCACTCACTGCCTCAGAACTCACCGCCACCGTCATCTTCCCCAGGATCCTCTCGGGGATGGGCCCCTGGATGCGCTTCTTCAGCTTCTCTGCACATGTGCCCATCAGCTCCATGGCAATGAAGACGTCCGTCTGTGGGGGAGGCAGACCAAAGCCAGGTTACCACAGGGAGCGATGTGCGCTAGGCCGCCCTCTTGAAGAGACAGATACGTGGAGAGGAGGGGGCTTAGGGTCACAGCGCAGCCCCGGGGTGGGTTGGCAGCAGCGGGACTCAAACCTGGGCGCGCCAGCTCGGACACGCAAGGCAGGGAAGGGCAGCCACCAGGGGGCCACCAGAGCACTCTTACATTGGTGATGAAGGTCCCGAAGCACTGGACAATGTAGGGGCAGTCGTGGCTTTTCAGCACCACGTCCAGGTCCATCAGGATCCTCTTGTTCTCCTCCTTGTTACCTGAGCGCCGCATTTGCTGAAGGGACCAGACAAGAGGAGGGGATTTCAGAGCGGCTGCCTGGGCGGAGAGCCGCCTGCAGGGGGTGAACAGAGTCACCTGCTCTGCCTGCTATGCAGGGACCAGCTAGCTCTTTGCTAATTAAGGCACAATCCCCAACCAACTATCCGTAGTTCAGAGGTGGGGAAACCGAGGCACAGAAATGAGCAGTGACTTGCCCAAGGTCACACGGAGCCAGCAGCAGAGCTGAAAACAGAACCCAGGAATCCCGACTCCAAGGCCCCCTCCTCCAACCTCTAGACCCCACTCCAAAAGCAGAGGATTTGCCAGCCATGGCCCCTCTGTCTCCAAGTACCACTCCTCTCCCAGATCTGAAAATAGGACGCAGGAGTCCTGACATCTAGCACTGCCCAGCTCTGACCACTAGACACTGCTCCTCTTTCAGAGCTGGGAATAGAGCCCAGGAGTCCTGACGCTCTATCCTCTGCTCTGTCCATTTAACGCCACCCTTCGCTCCCTGATGGAGCCGTGCTCCCCTTCCTCACTCCATTTGGAATGCCCTGCCCCCGAGGCTCACCTTCACGGCTATGATGTGCCCCGTTTTCTTGAACCGCATCTTCCACACCTGACCACATGTCCCGCTGCCGATCTCCCCCAGGTTCTCCAGGTCATTGATCTCTGCCTGGTACCGCTGCAGAGAGACAGATGCAGAGTGACGACAGAGCCCGTGTCCATACGCAGGGGTCAGGCAGAGCACCCTGCGGCAGGAGAACTCCTCAAGGTGACGTCCATGGCAAGGCTGCCAGTCAGCAGGGCACCAGGCTTTGCTGGCCAGCTCACTGGATTCCCCACCCCACACTGCGCCTTCCTGCCTGTTCTTTCACCCACCAATGGAGCTCAAAAGGGCAGGGACTCCTCAATTCCCCTCTCCGGAGGGGTGGGCATCCCAAAGGCAGCCTGGGCATGCTGGCAGGGAGCTTGCTTCATGCAGCCAGCCCTGGGACAGAGGACTTTGTCACAGAGGACTTTGTCTCAACTTCAACACAGAACAGCCACCACTTCTGGTTCACCACGCAGGAGCTGTTTAATAGCTGCACAGCAATGCCACACAGGCCTCCCCCTCCCGATGTGGCAGCTGGCTGCACAGCAACACCACATAGGGACCCCTCGCCCAGGAGTGAAATGCAGCCACTCCTGGGGTGGGTCTTGCTAGCTGTTTAAAAGCACAGTGCCACACAATGGTTTAAGATAGAAAAACGGACACAAACTGGGGACACTCTGCGCTAGTTGCTACCTACAGTGCTAATGGTGGAGCCGCACTGAGAACACTTTGCACTTTTTCCAACTCACCTGCCCTCCGATGGTCAGGTAACCCGTTTGCTTCATGATTTCCTGCAACTTCTGATCGATCTCTATACTAGAGAGAGAAGTGGAGAATGTTTGGATGGAGACAACATACCAAATCCAGGCACTGTGTCTGAGGGCTTCGAGGAATCCAAGGGGGGCCCTGGCTGAGGACCCCAAACTACCTGTAACTGCATCACGTCTAGTGGTCTCATCTCTGTGCCCTGTGGCTCTAGATTAGCCCGGTGAGCGGGTTAGCCCAGAAGAATAAGGAGGGGAAAAATCTCACTGGCCTGACCAGATGGCCTGCTCGTCTCGTTGGCCGAGACAGGTCACTCTACTTCATTGGCCTGGCTAGTTGACCCACAACAATTTACACAACAGATGACAAAATAGGTGACTGGTGCAGCAACCGTATTACATGCAGTACCCTGCAGGGGGAGCCAGCTAGCCAGACCAAGAGCAGCAGGTTCCTGGCTTGCTGCCCCTGCAGACACACACACGGGTTACAGCAGGGGCCATCCAGAAGAGCCCATGTCCATACGCAGGGACCAAGCAGAGCCCCCTGAGCCAGAACTCCTCAGGGTGACCTCCCTGGTAGGGCTGCCAGCCAGTGGGGCACCCGGCTTTGCTGGCCAGCTCCCTGGATTCCCCGCCCCACACTGCACCATTTTGCCTGATTCCAGCGGATTCCTTAATTCAGCCCCAGTGCCAGCCCCTGAGAGGGGGTGCCCTTTCCCCCTGCTTACCTCTCCATGCTCCTGGGCATGAGGAAGGGGGGCTGGGGCAGGCCCAGCATGTGGCGGGGGCGCGGCTGATGGGTGTGATGCTGGGGAGAGTTCTCCGAGGAAGAGGAGCGGCTGGTTCCCTCGTTCGCCAGGGGGAGCTGCAGGGCTGCGGGAGCAAGAGAGGAAGCAGGTCCCTTTCACATTGCTCCAGAGAACCCCCTGCCTGCTGCACACAGGCCCAGATCCCTGTCCAGGCTGCATGGGCTTGCGGGGGCCTAGCGGAAGGAGGGACGTGATCCCAACACGGTGCAGTGCCCATCCGAGAGCAAAGGCCTGTGCGCGGCTAGAAAGCACCGACCCTTCCCCTCCCCCTGGAGCCTGGCCTGCTTTGGGCTGGCAGAGGAAACAGTTCTGGCAGAGCAGCAATTTCCCTTCCTCCTCCGTCTCCAGCATTGCTCAAGGGCCCCGGAGGCAAGTGGGAAAGATCCCGCCCTTCACCAAGGAAGAAGCTTTGCCCTGGTTATTTCAAGAAAATTTGAAATGACTCTAGCCCCGGGGCAAGAGGCTCATTTGAGAGCCCAGGAGACTGACAGCATCTGAGTGGAGCCGCGCAACAGATACACGGGGGAGCTTCCTGCACGCACACCCTGCTGCCCACGGGGCCCCCTTCTCACCGGAACCCCCCCCCCGCTTTCTGAGAGCCGTGGCATCCAACCAGTTCAGAAGTAGCAGCCCCTAGAGTGGCTTCTGCTACAGCCAACTAGCCACACTCAACTGGCCAAATAGCCACATGTGGCTAGCGTGCTGGACACCGTGCGCAGCCTGAGAGTGTGTGGGGAGGGCACACCTCCCTCTATGGCCCATTCACACTCGAGTCATCGCTGAGGCTGCCATACAAGGGGAACAATTAGATTTTGATCTTTTGGAATTCCCCTGGAAAGGGGCAGAGTCACATTCACACCAGGATCTGGGAGGATGCGGGACTAGCATGATGTTCACGTCCCCCTGAGCTGCACCAACCGGACTGACCCTCCCAGAGGGGCACCCATGCAAATTTCAACGCACAGGGACCCTGGGCCGTCTCACAGAAGCAGGAAGCAGGTCAAAGGTCCATGCAGCCAAAGGCAGAGCCCCAGATCAGGGACAGCCCTACTAGCTTTGGCGGCAGAGGTAGGGGGAGACCAATGTAGCTGGATTGACCCAGGGAGGCAAAGCCAGGTTTGCCTGCAGGCACCCAAGGGAGGGACTCCCATCGTGAAGCATTTAGGGACCCTATTTTTTACACGGGGTGTGTCAGGTGCTGGGAAAGAATGGGCCATCATTGGAGGGGAGAGACATGCCAGTAAATATTAACTACCCGCCCCCATTCTTAAAAATCACTGGACAGGATAAAGAACGGACTGTAGGGAACTATGCTGAACAGGCCACCACGGGGCGACTGGCCAGGTTAAACATAATGAATCTTCTTGGCTCATTAAGTTCCAAGGTTCAATAAAGCAGATTTTCCTGGCAAAAATCTGTTTCTCTCTTAAATTAGGGTTGCTCACCCCAGGCCTCAGAAAAGTGGTAACAGCTGTTGGTAGTGACTGTACTGGGCTGGATCCCAAGCGCTAGATGCAGAGATGCACAGGATACAGCTGGGCTTGGATTGCAGACTGGTCACAAATGATCCTAACACTTCCCTACATCAGCTCACCCGGGTGGGTTTTATAGCCTGGGCACTGCAGGAGCTGGGTGATTTGTTCGAGGCCAGTGGGCAGGGAACCCAGGCACCCAGATTTGAGATTTAACGATACAATGGGCATGGGAGAGCTCAGTGGTTTGAGCCTTGGCCTGCTAAACCCAGGGTGGTGAGCTCAATCCTTGAGGGGACCATTTAGGGATCTGGGGCAAATCTGTCAAGGATGGTGCTTGGTCCTGCCATGAGGGCAGGGGCCTGGACTCAATGACCTCTCAAGGTCCCTTCCAGCTCTGTGAGATAATATATAATATGGAGATATACCTAACTAAATCCTCCTAGTCACTTTTGCACTCTCCAGCCTGCTGCCCCTGCTCCCCGCTGCACCTCGGCATGGTCTGCTACAATTCAGCCAACGGGCACTGGCAGCATGCCTTAAATGTAAGGAGTCCGTCAGGTGAGAGTTAAGGAAGTGGTCACAGATGGAGCCTCTTCAGGTTTCACAGATCAATGTGAACATGAAGGCATCTTCCCCTAGTTAACAGTTCTGCCGCCACAAGGCCAGGATCCTGCCCGGATGAGCAGTGAAACCAAGCCCCACTGGTTGCCCTTGGAAGTTTGAAGCCAAGTTTTACTGGAGCAAGTCTCTGAAAGAGCAGGGAGGTCACTGTGGTTGTTCCCTGGCCTTATCACACAGGTAACGGGGAAGGACTGCATCCTCCCACAGGCCTGAAATAAAGCTGCCCCTCCAGAAACTCAGAGCTATAGCCTCCTGCAGCACACCCGTGGTCCACATCCCACTGCTCAAGCTGGCCTCAGGAGACTACAGACTGCAGCATCCAGTGCTGCCAGGTCTCGGAAGGTAGAGCACTGCATGCTGCGATCTGTGGTCCTTCCGCCGCCCACAGGCTGTGCCCTCTTGTTGAAGGCAGGGGAGGCTGATGGTAGAACTCGATGAAAATTGCAGCCATGTTCTGGTCTCATGCTGCCCAAAGCACCACCACCAAGGTCAGTGGAGTTACTGCAGCTCAGCAGAGTGGAATCTGACCGTAGCTTACTATGAAAAGCAGCCCACCTCAAGTCATTTCCAGAATCTTCCCATACCAGTTCTCCATGGCCAAGCCAAGCTACCCTAGGCTGTTACCCCAATGGCAAGGCCACTTAGGAGTCGCAGCAGCCAGTAAGCTGGGACTGAGAGGCCACTCAACGAAGGTTCAAAGCATGCTGTGCCAAGGAGACAGGAGTTGCAGCTGCTGCGACCAGGGCACTGGTGAAGGACCCGGATCCTTTCAAACACACACCTCTAATTCCCACTGACTGAGCCAGAACCCAACACAGGCCAAAGAACCACCATTTTTCCACACTGCCCCAACACAGCTTGAAGCTGCTCAATCTGAATGAGCTTGAAGAGTCTTAACCAAGCAGAGACTTTACTCCTTGGAATCAGAGGATCCCAAAGCACAAGTGCAAATACGCTCTAACACACTGAGTATTACCCACCTCATAGACGGGCCCCCTGGAGACACTTGGCCTGGGCAAGCCCAGCAGAACCAGTAGAACCCAGGCGTTCGGGCACAGGCTCGTCTGTTGAAATGGTTCTAATCACAAATCATGCCCCCTTTTGAACTTTGCTTCCACATTTGCTCCTGTATCCAAGTGCTGCAATACTAGAAGGGCTTGAGCCAGAACTTGGACCCGTTCCACTCCCATGTGAAGCAACCCAGTTCGTCCTGCACCTTTTCCCCAAAGTTCTCTTCGAAAGGTCCCACCCGACTAGAAATATAGGGCCAAGCCCTCCACCGGGGTAAATAAGGGGAGTGCTACATCACAGAAGCAATGCATATGTGCACGGGCTGCGCCTGCACTGATTCGTAACGCTAAACTGAGTCCCTCCACCTTTAACTGCTGCTTGTCAAAGTGCGACATTCTCTTCCCAGCCACGCAATCAGCTGCCTCCCCTGCATGATTCGTCCTGTCATGATGACAGCCAAATGCACCAGCTCCCAAAGCCTTCGTTAGCATCCAATTCCAAGCCCAATTCATTTGAAGTGACTTCAGTGGCAGTAGCTAGGGCAGCTGGAGATCTGAGTTCTGTTCTGGCTCTGCCATGGATTTACTACAGGTCCTAGGCAAGTCTCTTCCCCCTCCCCATGCTTGTTTTCCCTCCCCTCCTTAACCCGTTTTGTCTTGTCACAAAGCAGGCCAGAGATGGGCCTAGACCCTATACCGGCGTGGGCAAAAGGGCCTGTATAGGCCGGATCCGGCCCTCCAAGCAAGTTGATCCGGCCCACAGAGGCCCTGACGCTCCCCCCCACCCCCCACCCCCAGGCCAATCAAGTGCGCAAAGCCCTGATTGGCCTGGGGGCAAGAGGGGTGCGTGAAGTCTCCTCCCACTGTGAAAGGAGCTCAGCAATTAGTAAACCGCCAGCTACTGCTCAGGGGGCAGGTGACTGTAAGCGCTGTGCTCCCTTGCAGGGCGGGGGCAGGGAGCGACTTCACGTGTTCCCTCCCCCCAGGCCCTGATTGACCTGGGGGCTGCAAGGGGGAGCACGCAAAGCCTCCTCCCACTGCCAGGGGTGCGGAGGACTAGAGGGACCCCACAGCTGTTTAGAACAGCTGCCAGTTCTCTCTGGGGGAACAAAGACTTTGCACTCCCCCACTCCCAGATCAGTGGGTGGGGAAACAGGCAGTGCCCTTCCATCTGAGGCCCCGCCCCTTCTGGGGTGGCCCAGGGCCAATTAAAAAATGTCTGTAGTGCCTCTG